AGAGAGAGAGAGAGAGAGAGAGAGAGAGGGAGAGAAAGATAAAGAAAACGATTGCGTCACGTCTATCGAGTAAATCGTCGAAGGATCGTTCGAAGGAGGAACACGAATTAAACGACAAGAGAGACATTCCTCTCGTTTCTACAAAATCGTACAAAAAAGCTTAAGCTTAAAAAAACAACAAGATAAAAAACGAAGCACCGAGTTTTGAAGAGCGAGAACGAGATTTTATAAGCTCGTGATATCAGCGACGCTAATTAGTCTACGTAGTACAATCTCAGAAAAAAATAAAGAAAAAAGAAAAAAAGAAAACGATCAAAGAGAAAAGTAGCATCAACGTACCATATATCTGTGTTTCTCGTACAATATAATATAATACAATATAATAATATATATATATATATATATTTGTATAATATAATATAATCTATCTATATATGCATATATATGCTCTCTTTTTCTTCCTCTCTGTTCTTTACAAAAATTATACAATTATACAAGCTAATGCAACGGAATGATCTCGTGTGTGTTTGGTCTCCTTATCGCTCGTCTTTTCTACTTCGCGTCCTCACGCGAGTAGATTGAAGCCTCTTGTGGAAGCGACAACTAATAATGAAAAACTGCTGCGGCACAGAGCACAGAGAAGAGATAATAATCTACGGAATACACGGTAAACTAAAGTGAAATAACCAGTCTTACGGTTGCGATTAATTCGATGCAATTACGTCTCGTCCGATCTCGTTACGAAGAGATGAGAGAATAATACTGATGAGATCGTCGCCGTTGAACTCGACGTCGTTTCGCTGAGCATAACTCCTCGTCGAAACGATTCCTATTTCCCAGCAACGAGAGATCTTCGAATCAATTTCGAATAATTTTTGTCAAACGAAATTTCGCAATCCGACAGTTAACACACTCGAACGACGACGAAATTAACCGGAAGAGAGGAGCGGAAGAGACAAAAGGAACGAACGAAATTAAGTAACGAATTAAGCGTTAAGTTAGCGAGTACGAAACTTGGATGAAAACGAAGATTAAAGTACGAAAAAAAGAAGAAGGAGAAAAAAAAAAAGAAACAAGTCGAACTGACTAGAACCGAGGATAAACTTAACCAACGATTAAAAGTACATTATATCAGAAGGACTAGAAATTCGCAAACGCAAGCGACCAAAGTAACGCGGTATTCCCAAAAAAAGACGCAGCTCGCTTTTAATTCTTTGATTTGATGATTAATACGTCGACATAGTTGCACGTTCGTCGTAGAATCACCTCGCAAACACGCGCGTTCAAAGTTCAGAGAATTTCCATATATAATAAAAGAATTCAACTTGACGCCAAAAAGAAAAAAGAAAAAAAAAAAAGAGTTTCTACGTGTTTTCTTGCAAGTAGACCGTTGTATTAGACCGTTGTGTTAATAGAAGCGATTAGATTTTCTCGTAAAAATTCCTTTGTGCGTTCGCGATACGTTTGAGAGCACGTGTTCACTCGTGTCGTGTTCAGTCGAACATACTAGCAGCGATATGATGAGAAGCATCACGGAGAAACAGAGTCGCGCGCGACGCGTGTCTGACGCGTTTGGCACTGATCTACTGCGAAACAGAACACGTTCGATACGGCCAATAGACACGGCCCCGTGTCCAATGGAGCGACAAACCAAGAGATGCAAAAGATCCGCCGTGATCATCCGAAAACATTCGATCTCGGCGACTCGTTCCTCCTCAAATTCCTTAATGTACGCAATATAAATCCTTATCGTATGAATACATGTAGAATAAGTTAGACGCTTGTACACTCTAAACGATATACGTATTGTACGTCCGCTATGATACGATTTTTATATTTCTTCTTGTTTAGACGTTAAACGCGTTTATATGAAAATATGGAGATTATATATCTTAGGCTCACGACCGAATTGCTTGGTCGGTGAAGTGTTTTAAGTACTCTCGTCTAGACGTACCTCTCCCAACGAAAAGAACTTACTCGCGTATTACTTATTCTCCTCACCTCGGTTAAGAGAAACGACAGGGAATGACAGAAGATTTGTCGTTTCACCGTGATTTCGTTGGGGAGGCACGCAATACTGCTCGTGAGATTCGATAAAACGACAGAAAACAATGATCGAATGAGAAATTCCTTTCGAGTTCGAATGTGCGAGTTAAACCTACGTACCAAAATAGGAAATCTTTGAACGTAAAGAGATTTCTAGCACCTTGTTGCGAATCCTGTAGTACTCGAAGGCTACCTATCACAGACCCATCAATCCTGAAAGAGCCGTAGGCGATTCACATTGGTCGAACGTTAAAAAAATATTACCATTCGAGGTATGACACCGAAGGTTCTTCCCTCTTTTCTTTTCTCTTTGAACTTCGCCATCACTGGCGTGATCCAAGAACACGTCACCGGTGCCGGATGATGCCGCAATACCACGTCTTCTCACGAATACCATTCACCTCGTTTTCCAATTTTCTTTGATTCCGCCGATTCAAAAGATTATCATGGAGCAATCAAGATCGTGTATTGGACACCAACCCCACCGCTTCGCGTAGCAAAATACTATTTTCTCGACAGATGCTGTGGCCCAACGATAAATCTCATCGGTCGTCACGATCCAGCGATCTAAACGTACAAGGTACATACATACAGGCGATTCCACTTGATATGCGAGCGTCCAGCAGCTTTGATTACGCTCTTTGATTTGTTTTTTTTTTTTTTCCTTTTTTTCACGTTCCCTGTTCGTCGTAAGATGTTCTCGCGTTCAACGACCAGAACTCGAGATTGACGTTCCTCGAGCTCGAGTCTTCGTCGTCTTATTTACTAAAAAACAGAAACGCTAACCTACGCACTACGTGGCCGTTTCTACAAACTAGGCGGACTAAATGTACTTACGATCAAGCCGTTCGATACTTGAATCGACTACCGAATACTAGCTCGCCGAAGGAAGTTTCAAGCGTCTCTCTCGAGCCACAACGATGGAGGCAAACAAACGAACAACCCTGTTCATACTACACCAGCGATGGAATCTGTGACATTTTCTTGAATCGTTTCGAACTGTATATTTGACGACTTCGAATTCAAATCACGCGGAACACGATTCGAAGCTGCGAACTCCGGAAAGTTTTAATAAACCTTTGATCGTCTTGAACGTCGTGAAAGTTTCGAGACAGTTCGATACCGCGACGAGTATTCAATGTTGAGCTAATACAAAATTATGCAACATAAATGTTAAAAAAGATTTAAAAAGTTCAGGTTGTTTGATAATTAGTCACGCTCGAAACTTTCAAAGATTTTAAGCTTAAGAACCGTATTCGAGGAGATTCGAAACGATTCGAAGTGTTGCAGATCTCATCGTTGCCTGTGTCATAATCGAATGTAGAATTAAATCGAATGTAGAAGCCAAAGCTCAGCCTAACTGTTTCTCAGTCAAATCGACGTGTCGATCAAACGTTTTTTACAACGGACGAAAGTCATCGAGCGGTTGTCTCTCGGTTCGACAGCAATTCCTTTGAACGGAAGAATGAGAAACGAGAAGGGAAAAGTCAGAACTGGAACAACGTCGAACTAGAATAACGAGATACTCCCGACGATCGATGAATAGCTTTCGATACGGTTTCTTCCTTCCGGGTATCGTTTGTATTATACTTAAAATAAACTCGCAATTAGCATCTGACAGGGAATGGCTCTGCGCGACACTCGACCCCGTTCTTCGCCCGTCGAAGCAAACCAGATACAAAGAAAATAAAATTAGAAAAATATCATGCCGCTCTAAGAGTTCTAATCGGGCTGGAAGAAGTGGACAGAGGAATGTCGTGCAGCGATTCAACCTCGCGCGACTCGACGAAGGCTCGGCGAACGAATCGAGAAATTAAAAGATAAAAAAAAAAACCGTGTCTTCTCCACCGAGTTCGTTGCGAACCGAACCGATTCGCGTCGCGTGTCGATATATTGTTTGTCGTAATCCCAGCGTAATCTTCGATTGTGCTTTTGTCCTGCGAGCGTCGTTCGTCCCATCATTTTGCACTCTGGCGTTCTCGTCTTACTCGCTCTTTTTCTTTCTTTTCTCTTTCGTTTGGTTTTTAATCAGGAATGGGGAAGAGGTAGAGCAGAACGAGGCTGGAGAGGAATGTGGCAAAAAGCATCGCGGATAGAACGCGATCCTGAATCGTATGGGATGAACCTGCGGCCGATTCTTCGGTATCTTTCTTTCCTTCGTCACGGAGAAGGAGAAGAGCGGAGACGAGACGCGCTAGAGCCTCCAGCCCGTACGCGTCCATGTAACCCACGTCCATGATTGCGTCCGCGTCCAATAACACCTCCTGCAACACCAACAACGATACTACTCAGTCCCAGTCTCTACTATGTCGCTGGTCGTTCTGAACATTTTATTTTTCATTTTCTTTTGATACAGAATCTTTTGCCTTGCCCTTCTTACATAACTTTCATTCCTAAGGAAGCGATATATCTTCCTCGAAATCAACGATTCGAACCTTTAGCGAAAACTTTGCCTCGAAGAACGAAAAACTTTGCACAAAAATCGTTCGATTTAGGCGCTTCATCGAGAAAATAAGTAAGCAACAACCAGACTTGAGTGTCACTTTGTCAATAAAATGTATGAGCCAATTCTGGCTCCTATCTCAAAAGGATACAAGTAAGAAAAAATATAGCTAGTTTGAAAGATTTTTGAAAGTTCAGCGCGTGGCATTAAGTCGTTGAATCTTAGAGGAATGTTGAGAAGTGAAGACGCTAGAGAACGAGACGCGTTCAAAGCGTTCTCCGATGAAGCGACGAGCGACACAAAAGCGAATACGAGCCTAGGCACATGCAACTAAAGCTTCTTTCTTTATCTCCAC